TTAATGGCCTTAAATGGTGAAAGTCTTTAGGGGGTGGGAGTCAGGGCAGGGTGAAGGAGGTATAAGTCTTGGGAGCTGTCAAGCATCAGCTGGTGATGTCACCCACTGCCCTGAAAATCCATCCCTAGAACATCCTTATGACTCAGTCAAGCTGTGTGTGTGTGTGTGTGTGCGCGCGCGCGTGTGTGCATGCACATGCTTCATGTACATACACATACACCAGTACTAGGACTTGAACTCAGGGCCTTACACTCTTGTTTGGCTTTTTCATTCCAGGCTGATACTGTACTGCTTGAGCCACTTTTTGCCTTTTGGATGTTAAGTGGAGACAGGAGTCTCACAGACTTTTCTGCCTGGTCTGGCTTCAAACTACAATCCTCAGATCCCAGCCTCCTAAGCAGCTAGGATTACAGGTCTGAACCAACAGTGCCTGGCCCAGTCAAGCACTTCTTTCAATGATTACTGGGATGATTTTTGGAGTCAAGTTTTATTTACCTGCAGGAACCTGGTGTAAGACCTCATCAATAGCTCCATGTACCCTGGCCTTCCATTTCAACTGCAGTTTTGACAGCTCCTGGGTGCACTTGCTGTAGCCTCCATTATTCTGTCTCTAGGCATATTGGCTACAGGACTTGTCCGTAAAGCACAAGAACTTCCACAGCTAAACTAGTGATATTTGGGCTTCTGAGGTACCCTCAGATAAGGAAGTCTTCAGATAAGTGGCCCAGACTCTTAGGATTTCTTCTTCTTCTTCTTCTTTTTTTTTTTGGTGCCAGTCCTTGAGCTTATATTCAGGTCCTAGGTGCTGTCCCTGAGTTTTTGTGCTCAAGGCCAGCACTCTACCATTTGTGCCACTGCTCCATTTCCAGCGTTTTGGTGGTTAATTGGAGATAAGAGTCTCACGGCCTTTCCTGCCCAAGTTGGCTTCAAAGAATGATCTTCAGATCTCAGCCTCCTGAGTAACTATGATTAGGCATGAGCCACCAGCATTCAGTTGACACTTAGGCTTTGGAGACACAATTCTGAAGTGTTTTAATCAAGGGTGCCCTAGCTCATTCACATAGCTTTCATGTTCTCTTCCTCTATTCCTGTCTTGCTTTTCCTGCATTTCACTCTTGCTTCCTGGAGTCACCTAAATTCAACCCCAAGTTCTACCTTCAAAGCAATGCAAATTAAAAGAGGCCCATAAAATGAACAGTAGTCTGGGAAGGATGACACTGGTCTTAGGTCCACTGAACTATTCCATAGAGTTCTGGTCTTTGAACTGATAAAGAACAGTCAGAAAACTTGTGAATGTTTTTTATGTTGAAGTTTCCCTATGTAGTTATGGCATCTCATTATATATTCATCTATGCAGTAAATATTTCCAGCCTCACCCTCTTTGTCAGGCATACTGGGCTGGTACTAGAAAGAGAAATAAGGGGGTAGTTCCTGTTTATAATGGAAGTAAATGATGCACTAGAGAAGATGGTAGAAATCTGCTCAGAGGACAGTGGAGATCCAGGGGCTATATCTGTGGTCTAGACTGGGAGATGACAGGGTGAGAGCCCAAGGACAGAGCAAATGCACTGCTGGGCATTACCAGGTCAGAGGAAAGAAAGGATTCAGTCCTGGAGGAGAGCAGCAAGCTACTGGAGCACAATTCAAGGTAAACTTGTAGCTGAGAAATGACAGCATGAACCCTATGTGGAAGACAGTGAGGTTGATGAAGAGACAAGAAACCTTCTGAAATGTCACAGACACCACATGGCATTGCTGTCACCTTTGCATTTTGTAATGTGCATCCATAGATTGCTGCTCTTAACCGTAAGATGTGAGCATAAAGCTTTTGGCTCAGGACTACAGGTTTTTTTCTCTTTCCTTCTGCTTCTTTCTTCTTCTTTGCATCCTCTTTTTTCTCTTCCTTCTCCTTTTCTTCCTCCTCCTGATTTTATTTTTATTTTTTGGTAGTACTGAGGTTTGAATTTTGGGCCTTGAGGTTGCTATCAAGTACTCTACCTCTTGATCCTGCCGCTAAGCACTTTTGAGTCTTATTTTTGATCCTTCTATTTCTGCTTCTCACGTAGCTGGGATGACAGATGTGAACCACAACTCCTAGCAGTTTATTGGTCAAGATAGCATCTTGATGACATTTTTGCCTTGGCTGGCCAATCCACTATCTTTACCTCCCCAGTAGCTCAGATTACAGGCATGAGCCACGACATCATACTGCCTTTTAAAAATAAACTTTTATTTTTTAAAATGAGTTTCTGTATTTAGTCAGAGCTCGAGGGGTATAGGTCCACTACCATACTTTATGTGATGAGTTTATTCAGGGCAAATATGAACTTTGTCTTCTTCAGAAGAAAGGGCTCCAGGACAACCTGAATATCTTGGAATAATATCAGTCTCTAACTCCTTTGATGAAACTTGATTCATTAGTCAGAGGAAGGTCTTGACTACTCACTCTTGTCCTGTTTCAGGCATCTCTGGTTAGATGCCTTCACTTTCAAATACACCTCAAGACTCTGGTTGTTGCTCTGTGGCAAAGCACTTGCCTAACATATTCCTAACATATGAGCCTGGGCTCATCCCTCAGCACTAAAAACAAAGACAAATGTGTCTCTAATCTGAACTCTCTCACCTGGGTGTTGATGTTCACAAGACCACAGCATGATCCTGTAGGTCTAAGCCAGTGCATGATTTTACCCAAATCCTTGGTAAAGATGCTGCTAGAAACTGTTATTTCATCACCCATGCATGACCTCTTCACTTTTGAGCTAAAGACCTAAGAATCAGAGCCAACATATCTGGATGGGCAGCACATGAGCAATTGCCAGGATGATCCATGTTGTCTAGTTTCCACAGATGAAACTTTAAAAAAAAAACTACATTGTTGATTCCACGTAGTATTTTTTTTTAATTACATAGAGCAGAATCCATGTCTAACTAACCTGTTTGTCTTCCTGCCTCTCTGGCAGCTAGCACTTTGCCCTTTTACCTTCAATGCCTGTTTGGTGTGGGGCTCACAGTGAGTATTCTAGTCTATTGGATTCCTGGCACAGGTCTCTGCATAGACCTTTACAAGTTTATTTACATCATCATGGATTCTCTCTTGAAAAAACAGTCGTTTCACAGGAATACACCATTGGCATGAGATTCTAACACACTAATGTGTTGACTGCTTGGGAGAACTTCTATTTTTTTTTTTTTTTGAGAGTACTAGAGTTTGAATTCAGGAATCTCACTTGCTGACCACAGTCTTTTTGTTGTTGTTGTTTACGTCTGGGCTGCCTTTAGGCTCTACACCTTCCATATATGCCTTCCCTCAAATTACAGGTGGGAATCACTACTATACTTAGATTATTGAGCAGACAATCTTACTAACATTTTGCCTGGGCTGGCTTCCAACTGGGACTGTTCTTTTGCATTCTTCTAAAGCAGCTGGGACTATACATACATTCATCACCACACCCAAATCCATCAGGATTTCAAATTTGTGTGTGTGCATGTGTCTGTGTGTGTATGTGTGTGTATGTGATGATATTGGGCTTGAACTCAGGGCTTCCTGCTCTCAGATTAAATTTTTTTTATTTAATACTATCCAACATATACCATTGCTATATATTTCACTGAAAAATTATTGATATGTGATATTCTATATATATTTGATAATTCTGTATTTTTAAAGTATAATTCAGTACTTCGTTTGGGACATGATTTTCAATTGCAGCATATCTCCAGTTGTTATATTCACATTTCCCCCCCAAACCTTTAGCATTAATGTTTTCATGTTTCATACAGTTTTTTTTTTTTTTACTATTTTCTTATCTCAGTATCCCCATTGTGGCATTTTAGCATAAAAACAAGAAAATTCACTACTGCTGGTACAGAGTCCATTACATTTTCAAAAATGCTAGTGACTAGGACTGGGAATGTGGCTCAGTGGTAGAGTGCTTGCCTAGCATGCATGAAGCCCTAGGTTTGATTCCTCAGTACCACATAAACAGAAAAAGCTGGAAGTGGCACTGTGGCTGGTGGTCGAGTGCTAGTCTTGAGCACAGAGAGGCTTAAGGACAATGCCCATGCCCTGAGTTCAAGCTCCAGGACTGACAAAAAGAAAAAAAAATGCAAGTGACTGCATTATGTACCAACATATAACATGAAATGATTATCATAATTTATACAATTATAATATATAATTATATTGTTATACACTGTAAATATATTGTATAATTATATATAATATTTAATATATATTATATAATTGTATACCATATATAATTATAGCATATATAATGCATAATTATATATTATATAATGCATAATTTATAATTATTGGGTATATATTATAGAATTATATTATATATTATATATAGTATTATATATTGTGTATTACATATTATACATTATATAATATACATTTTATTATGCTATATAGTCTATATCTTATATGATATGTAGAATTATACATATGTTATATAAAATATATAACATATAATTATATTGTAATAATATAATATAAAATCATATAGAAATTAAGATACTATAATGTGAAATTTAGATGAGTATTTTTAAACTGTGCCATGAAATTGAGATAATACAGTATTATTAAACTGTGCATTGAAATAATTACTATCACTACTATAAACAAGTATATAAAACTATGCCATCATTCTTCCTTTCCTTTGTAAAGAATTTATTTTATGTGGTAACCTTCACCTGGACCCCTTCCCTGGCAGCCAGTGGATTGGTAGATGTCCCTAGAGTTTGGGCTACTTCCCAGCAGCCTCTGCTCTGTCTGGCCTACAGTTACTCCTCCCCACTCTCCCTCCACAGTAATTAGGCCTCAGAGAATGCCAGCTACCTGTCATGCCCCAAAGTTGGTTTTAGAGGGCAGGAGCCCACTTCTTCAGGTGGAAGCTGCTAGGTCTTCAGGCAGTGATTATCTACATGTCATCATTTGTATCAGGAGCTTGTAGCTCTTGCAGGTGCCAGATACCAGGCTGGGGCAGCATGATCTATTCTGTAGTGGGGTCCTTGTGGGGCACCCTAGCCTTTCCTTGGACAGGCTCTAGGTTGTCTTCAAGCTTAACCTCTTCAAAATCTTGCCATTCCTCCAAACCTTCCATGATTGTAGTGCCTAGGCGGTCTGGGGAGGCCTCAGCAGCAGGGGCCTGGGTGGCTGTCCAGATCTGGTATTGGCACTCTGTGCCCTCATCTGTAAGGTAAAACAGCAGCTCCTGCAGCTCCTTCTTCTTTTCCCTCTTCTCGTGTGTCAGCCACCTGACACAGTTGACTTTCTCCTGATACAGCTCATCCAGAACTTCCATCTGTGCCTTATAGAATACGATGGACTCTTCAAGGGTGGTCACGTGTTCTGAGAGCTGGCTGCATTGATGTTGGAGGTCATCCGATAGCTTCTGGTAGTCTACCTTGCCGGGGAGGTTCTGGGTGAAGAAGATTCTTAGCTTCTTGGGTGCCTGTTCATCCTGCTTCCTCTCTGTAGACACTCCATGGTTCCAGGTCTTGGGGGAGATGGCCTGGAGCCCCAGCTTTGTCTGAAACTGGGCTGCCAGGTTGGCCAGGCACCTACAGCGGGCCTGATGCTCCTGCAGCTGCTGGCTGAGTTTCATCTTCTTTAATTCAGCAACTGATAGTGCTTCAAGGTAAAATTCCCACATGGTTTGTGGGTTGTCTATGTCCTCTGGGACAGTCACATCAGATGGAGTCACCTCCTCATCCTCTTCTCCTTTGCCCACTCCTTCACTTTCCTGAGGGAAAGCTAGGAAGCTCAACTGGGTCCGCAGCTGCTTGTTCTGATGTCTGGTAGCTTCTATGCACTTCAGAGTGTCCTGTAACTTTTGATTGGCCATCTGTTCCTCCAACCTGCTCTGTACCTGCTCCTGCTCCAGCTGCTCCAGCAGCTGGGTCTGTCTCAGCAGGTGCTGCTGCAGTTTCTCCTTCTCTGAGGTCAGTTGCTGATTGGAGACTCTGTGCTGTTCACAGGTGGCCCTGAGGTTCTGAAGATGGGCCAGGTTCTGGTCATGCTGCTCCTGCAGATCCTGAGCCACTTGGCTTTTTAACTTAGCCATCTCTTTCCATTCTTCTAGCTTCTTCTCTAGCTCCTCCAGCTCCTCCCGCAGATGTCTCTTCTCCTGCTGCTCTGAGTGCAAGATACTGGCTAGCTCCTCCTTCTCACCACTCAGCCTGTGGAAGGTGTCCTGCAGCTGGGCCAGCTGATCTTTCAGCTCTTGGTTAGGTAACATTGAGCTTCTCATGGTCTCATCTCTTTCTGTTGTCTCATAGAGCTGGTGCTGATCCTGGATATGTTGATTCCATACCCCAGCCTGCTGGTCAAGAAACCACAGCTGCTCCTGCTGCTCCAGATTCTGGAGACTGAGGATCTGGTTTTCCTGCATTTGGATGTAAAGTTGTTCCTCCATGTTCTGTAGCTCCTTCTGTAACTGGTGTGCCTCAGCCTGCAGCTGCAGCTCAGCCTGAGATGACCCTGCAGATGGCTGTGGAGGCAGCAGTTCTGCCAACTGCCTTCTAATTTCCACCAGGTTTGTCTCTAGCTGAAAAACCTGCCTCCCCTCTTGTTCATTCTCCTCACTCAGTAGGCTTATCTGCTCCAAGAGCTGTTGGACCTTGTCATCCCACGTGGAGCTCTCTCCTTTGAAATCCTCTGCAAAGTTGCCTCTCTCCAAGCTTAATTGTGTCACTAACTCCTTCATGTACTCTAGCTCGCTCTCTAGCTCTTCCCATTCTTCCATTACTTTTGGACCTGTTGGTTACTCTTGAGGTGGAGATTCATTAGAAGATTGAAGAAGTGGGACTTCTGACATGTTGTTATTGATTCCAGTGTTGGTGGAAAGGACACTGGCAGGGAAGGACACAGGGCGAGGCTCAGGGTCAGTTTGGTCTTTTGTCACACCTTTTGTTGATTTAAACTCCTCAGCAGTGTTTGTCTTGGGGTTACCTCCCTTTCACATTTTCTTCTTTTTCTTGGCTTCCATGGGTCTACCAGGACAATTCCGCTCAAGGAATTCTTGCAGTAATTTCTTGCCTGCAGCTATTTTTTTGTCTTGTTTACTCAGACATCCCATGGGGATGGTGGAGTGGCCACATTCCCAGGCTCTCTAAAATCACCTCAATTCTTGAAATCACCACCAACTGTCTACTTTCTATAGGATCTCCAAAATCACCTTGATTCTCCCAATCACCACTCAACACCTCTACCTCTCTCAACTGGTGATAATGGTGTGAAAAGGGAATGCCAGTGGTACTAGGCAGTGTAGAATGTGGGTGTGGCCTGAATTTTTGTATTCCATTGGTCAGAGAGAAATATGAACCAATAAGGGGTGTGGCCAGAACCTTGTGATCCAGGCAGAAAATGTGGAGTCACAATGAGAGCTGTTCCTGCTGCCCCTCCCTTACCCACCTGCTCACTTGGTGGGCAGAGCAGGACTAGCTGTAGCTGGGTGTCTTCCCAGCTGCACTAGAGACTGCAAGATTATAGCCTTCCTCACACCAATGTAGTCACCCAGTGATCCTGAGAGGTCGCTCTCAGGACACTTCCTTAGACCCTCTTGTGCTGTAGACGCTCATGACCAGAGTCTGGGGATCAAATGCCAGAGTTCAGAGGGTGAATGAGCAACAGGGAGCAGGGATACTGCATCACTTTACAGTCCCTTTCCTCGTTTTACATCTTAGCTCTTGGATTTTCATGTCTTAGAAATCCCCTCCAAAGTATTTGCCATCCAGTCCTCTAGACTCCTCAGTTCCAGAACTCTCCCTCTTCTTCCTGAGAAGTTCTTGGTCCTGGAAATGTATCTGTCCTCCTCCTATCTGGATCCAGTCCTCCTTTCCCACCCCTAATGTACTCTGTTCCCACAAGAGAGGGCATTAGTTCCAACCTGCCTTTCTCTTGGGGATTCTACTCCAGGCCTGAATCAGAACTGAAAAGTTGCCAGGTGCCTTCTAATACACAGTATGTGTGTGCTCCTCTTTCCCACCCTGACAAGCGTAGCTCCCCATCCCAGCTCTCTTCAAGATCTTCCCCCAGTAGACCTGTGTGCTGACCACATTTTAAATGCTTAATAACCACATATTACCCATGCGTGGCTATTATATTGGGCATTCGTTTTCATTAGTTTTCCTTACTTCTAATAAAAGGATGATTAAGCACAAATAGCCAATACTAAAATGCATATTTTTAGTGCAAGTTTGAGTGTAAACTAGGAAATACAATAAATAATCTGTAAGTACTTCACATATAATAAGAACTTCATCCTGTTCCTCCTTCTCTGCTTATGGGTGTTTGATAGGAATAGACTCCTAAACTTTGTGAAATGATGTGGCATAGTCTTTGAACTGGAGAGCATTTTCATGATCTGCTCTTTCTTATTGCTGTTGTGAGAAAAAGCAGTCTTTTTCTGTCAAACCAAAGTGTCTGCATCTTGTAACCAGTCACTATTTTGTACTTATATTTCCCGAAACTAGCTAGCCATGGCAAGGGGTATAAGTCCTTATCAACAGTGTTAGGAGAACAACCCCTCCTCTGCAGTGGGAACCTTTTCATTAACAGGAAGCTTTCTAGCTTCCTTAAATCACCCCCCTGATAACCAATCATAGTATGTGAGCTCAACTCCTACTGGCGAGGAGGAACAGCACCACTCCTTGTATTAGGATAAAGTCCAAGTGGGCTGCCCCTAAACTGCCTTCTAAACTCTGGTAGAGTGGCAGAGCCACACTTTTAGTCTGGTATTTTGCTGGTTAATTGGTGGTAGAGTCCCACTCTCATAGACTTTTCTGCCCTGACTGGCCTTGAACTGAGATGCTCCAGGTCTCAGTCTCTTGGATAATAGAATATGATAATAAGTATGAGCCACCAGTGCATGGCTAAGACTTCTATATTTTAAACTTTCTTTAACTATAAGGTGTCCAGTAGAAAATTAAGAGGATACCCTTTTTGAAAGTTGTCATTCTAGTTCTTTTACTTTGCTTTACTTTCCTTCTCTTTTAACTTTAGGATGAAAGTAAACATTTAGAAGAGTAGTAGTTACTTCGCAAAAACTCAACAACCAAAAAAACCCACTTTTTTTTTTTTTTTTAGTAAAACGACTGTATCTGAAGAAGTAGGGAAAGAATGAGGTCCATTCATCTCAGTCCAAACAGGAATTTTGACTGAAACTAGGAGTTAGTGAGAAGGGAAATCTGATCTGCAACTCTGTGAGAAGCAGGTGCTGAAATCAACCAGTTCTGTTAGAATGGACAGCAGAGAAACTAGAAAGGATAGTAATGGTGTCTTGCCATCCAGTTTCTGTTTTATGTTTTATACCATCCCCTTAACCTGCACACACTATTCTGGCCTTTGAAGTGGGCAATGGACATTGCATAATAATTATTGCAACATTGGATCTGAACTGTCTTGAACTTTCTGCATTAACCAAGGGATGCTTTGTATATTGAGCATCTTCAAAGAAATGCAAACAGAAGACCTGTGTTTGAATTTTCTTTGGAGGGCTCTCCATTGCTTCTGGCATGTGAGGGACCAAAAATGAGGAGTGGAAAGCAATTGATTGTGGCTTTCTGAGTCTGTCTTAAATGTTCCCCTGGTAGCTTCCCTGTGACTGTTTTGCTTTCATGTTTTCTGGTCGTCTTTGTTTTAATCTTTTTGACACAACAGCTGGATTCTGCTTCTAGTACTTACCCTGAATCCCTGTCCTGTTGTGAAACATTCTGGCTTTTTTTTTAAAGGCATATGTCATCCTCCTTTTCTATTGTATTTAAATACAATGGAACTTGTCCTTGGTAACTACTTAAAAAGGAGCCAGTGTGCATCTCTACAGAGTTGGAGACTTTTCTTTATGCTTAAAGTCTCCTCGTCTGAGGACTGAGTGCTTCCTACCTACCGGAAATGAACTGCATGTGTTGATTTGTCACAGGACAGACATGTCCCAAAGGGTGTGCTTCCTGGTTATCATTCAGTTTTCTATGAAATGATTTAACATACAGCAGTTCTTCTTCTAGCTTGGTTCTCTGAGACTGATGCTGACATTATTGTCTCCCAGTCTAGGTTAAGATTGCTACATGCATTTTCTTAGTCCATATTGTTGCTGTAAGAACCAACCACAGACTAGGTTTCTTTGGCTCCCAGTTCTGGGTGATGGAAAGTATGTGATGGAGTATGTGTACCAGCTAAGGCTCCTCCTGCTACCTGGTACCACAACAGAAGGCCTTGCAATGGTGGGACACAACAACAGAGGCCCCAATTTGCTTGTGTGACAAACCTGTTCTGGCTCTAACAACATTAGCCCATCCATATGACATGATTGACCTAATTGCCTCCGAAAGCTCCCAGGTTCCTGGAGGATATACTTTCAACATGTGAATTTGGGGGATGCATTGAAACTATGGCAGGCAGGCAGTGGGTGACAGTCTACTTCCTGGCTATGGGAAAGAGGGAGCTGGGAAAGAGAGGGATAAAAATAACAGCCAAACAACAACTGCTATTGGAATTAGCCAGATGCCACTCAAATGATTGGCTTGCCAAGGTTATAAATTTATAGCAGGAGTTGTATTATCCTTACAATTTTTTTAAAAAAAATCAACCTACTTTTGATCTGATTTCTCTTGCTTTTGTCATGGTATCCTCTTCTATCACAGCTTTCTTTCAGAAAATTATAGTGAAAACAGAAGCTTTTCTGGGAAACAAACCAGCAATGAGAAAGACCATTAAATTATTCTTTGAAAAATACAAGTTAAAAAAACCCTCCACATTGTTATGCCAGATTATATAAACTGCTAAAATTTACACAAATTAGAGGATCTTGGTATACAATTAAAAAAAAACAGGACTGACTAAAGCCACCAAGGTTTATTAACTTCTTTTGAGGTTCTTACACCAAATGCCCTTATTGAGTTTGGACACAATGAAATTGTCTAGTGAACAGAGCAACTAGAATGTACGAGGAAACTTATCGTACTTCATATTTTTTAAACCCTTTTTGGAGATAACCATTTTCAGGATGTATCATTATGACACACTGAATTATAATCTATGAATTAGAATATAATTGTGCAATTTGTGTCTAATTCTCTTGTTCACATTTTATATTAGGCATATTTCTGTACAGACTTAACAGTATTGTGAATTTTTCCATAAACAGTTACTTAAAGCCATTCACATAATCAAAATAATATTTATAGATATTCAAGAAATGATTATTTTTAGGATTGTGACAAAGCAGAAAACCTTACTGTGTGGGTTTGCTACAGCCACCTTCCCCCAACAAAAAAGAAAAAGAAAAAAATTCAAGTTTTGGTTAAGTTTCCTGAATGAGAGTTGTGAAAATTAGTTTCTTTTGCAACGATCATACAATTGAAAGACTAATTTAAATTAGGAGGGCACACTGAGCTTGGAAGAGGGTATTGTGAGAAAGCAAAGCATAATTTTCCTTCAAACAAAGACAAGCTTGTTGGAGAGCATGCTTTATTGCCTGGAAATTCTATATATATGCAAAGTTGCTCATCAATTCACTGTTGGGTTTTGTGTGCTTGGTTTCCCCTTTTGTTTGTAAAACGCAAATGCAAGGGGGAAAAGTAAGCATAGCTCTGTGTGGTACAGGCACCGGGAAACCTACACATACCAGTTCCCTTGGCATGTGGTATTCCTGGGCAGTAAGCTGCCTACAGCAGGACTGGTCATGCTTGGATTCATGTGGGCAAATCAGTGCAGATGCTTCAACAGGGCCACTTGAAACTTCCAGAA